GGCCATCATCTTGACCTTGTAGAACCTGAACTTTTCATCTTTCCCATCGAAGATGGGATACTTGCTCGACGATGATACCTCTACCTCCGTAGACATCTTTACTTACTTCTCAATTCTTCTCTTTTCTGTTTGACAACCTGGATCCAAGCTCACTCTTTCCTGATAGCTATCGTTTTAAAACGTGTTGAAAAGGTGTGAGCTTGAACGCACAATTTCTCTAATTTAATCAATATCCTTCCAGCTCTACTGTCTAGTAGACTGGCTATCTGTTTCGTTTTCTCTTTCTCTCTCGTTCAGATTGTGAGCTCTACAACTGAGCTCCGATATGCATACATATACCAGGATCTTTCGATCCTCTGTTTCTCGCAGTTTCATCTGCAGATAGATCTCGTCGATCTATCTTCCTGAAGTGCATGGTTGGCCCTGGAGGGCTTTCCCACTTTACTAAACCTATGGACCTTCATCCGTCCATTCATTTGTTCCATCCCGTCGCTCCTTGCATTCATCTCTTCGACCTAACTTCCTAACCTTTGTAGTTGCATCATCTAGACGACCATTGTCCTCGTTCCTCGTACTCCTGGCCATCTGATGATGATCGGATAACCATCTGATTTGAGTCACACATCCCCAATCACGAACCGTGATTGTGGATCCCGAGTCGTCTGTCCGTCATACGAAAATACCTTTCTGACAACCCCCCCTAACCTTCAAAAAAACTCCGCATTGAGTGACGCAATAAACCTGTTCCAAAAATAGAGGTAAAAGTGTTTCCCCTTAACCCTAATGATGAAACTGACTCCCACGACCCAACGCTTCGAACGCCAATTTTTCTCTTTTGCGAGGTTCAGCGAAACCGAGGATGGGTTACGAGAACCAATGATCACTGTTTTTGTCCAGTTTGTGTTTCCACCGCGATTGCGCTACATGTATCTATAGTGGAGGATGAGGCCTCGCAATCGGAAAAACCAAAGAGGCATTAGCCGTCCAGCCTTGACAGTAATGATGATGTTGTCGTTCTTGCTGGCCAAGCTGTCGTGGGAGACCAAACTGCTCTTGCATGCCAATTCGAGCAAACGTTCTTTACTGGAAACGTTCACGGCCGAGAGCCCTCATCACAATCATCAGATGCCTCCGAATTCCTTCCGTGGATCTTCCAATTCGGTTTCGATTGCTTCCGATGGCAACACTACTACTAGTAGAGATCCCGTGCCCGTGATTGCACGAGCAACACACGATCACAAGCAACACACACGAGGATCCCACAAGTCGGTCGTCCCGTTGGGGAAAGCCAAGAAGGAACTGATCGTTTTTTACCACATCTTTCTGCCGGATGAAGAAAGAGGAAACAGGAGCACGGCAATCGTCGCAGAACAACTCGAACAGATTGGACATTCCGGAGCTCGCAACATGTCGGAATCGGTGCAAGTATACTACAACACAATTGGCAACAGAACCATTGACGAAGCAGCCATGAATCAGACTTGCGCAAACAACCATATGCAATGTGTACACACCAAGCACTACACGGAGGGATTCGAGTTTCACACACTCAGAGACATTCGCCTCTATTGTCGACAAGAGGAAAATATCAACAAGCAAGTCGTTTACATTCACAATAAAGGTAGCTATCACACCCAAAAGGGAAACTCTGTACACTTACGGAGAAGCATGACGACTGC